ATTTTTACTTTTACACCTTTGAGCCTGAGATAAGTGTGGTATTGCCAGTTCCTGAGATACCCTCAAGTCATCTTGCTTTGGGTAAATTATTTAACATGTCTTTAGTGACTTTAAAGTATTTAATAATCACAACTTCCTTTGTCCCAATTTTACTCACTTTTTTGGCCAAAGTACAAGTTTTTAAAATCTTTCTGCTGTGCTTTCTGCTTCTGATAATTATGATAAACTTGGTTAAAAGCTACCAACATTATCCATACCACTGCCTGAATGTTATGTTGCCTAGAAATTTCTTCCATCAGATTATGAAGTTGATCACCTTTAAATTAATCTTTACAGAAAGCTTCAGGACATGAACAAAGTGTAAACAACTTCTTTTCCACAACATAACATGAATGGTCTCTTATTCAATTTCCAGTAGAGTCTTCCTTCATCTCTGAGATCTCATGAGCACATTCTTTATTGTCCTCAGTTCTGTTGTCCTTCAAGTCTTTTGAACTTCCTCCAGAATTTTCCATTAGGCTCTGCTTATGACAATCTAAAACTTTTCCAGCTTTTTTTGTTAAATTTCAAAATTTCCCCCACAAATTCCAAAAAGCTCCAAAATATTCTGAAACACATGGCCAGGTTAGTCATAGTAATGACCCCACTTCTTGGTACCAAATTGTGTTTTAGTTAGCTTTTTCACCACTGTGACAAAGAGACATGACAAGAACAATTTTAGGTAGAAAAAAATTATTTAGTTTCAAAGGTCTCAGTCTCAGATGGCCAGCTGCTTTGCTCTGGGCCCAACTTGAGGCAAAATATCATGGAGGAAGGGTGTGATGGGAGAAAGCAACTCAGAACAGGACAATCAGGAAGCAAAGAGAAAAGTTAAGCTTCTCTCAATAGGGACAATAGACCCCCAAAATATGCCCCTAGCAATCTTTCACATCCAGCTACACCCAACATGTCTACAGTAACCACCCAGTTAATTCATTCAAGTGGACTAATGCACTGATTAGGTTAAGGCTCTCATAACCCAATCATTTTACCTTTAAACTTTCTTGTGTTGTCTCTCATGTGAGCTTTTGGGCGTACACCTCATATATAAACCATAACAACAAAGAAAACTGCCTCTATTTCCTTATTGTACTTTCATTGCAGACAATACTAATTCATCACAGCATTCTTTTCTACAGAGCTATTATAAAGATAAAAACATTCTCAACATCTTAATTAGCTTGCAAGATAAAATAGCCTCTGGTACTATTCTATGCATAAATTTCTACTAGGCAATATTATCTTTAGGGACAGCTAAGAATTTGAAGACACATGTTGATATTCTCTAAATAGTAAATAGAGGTCACATTTTTTTTTTCACAAACCATTGTACCTAAAATAGAATAGAAAGCAAGTCAGAAATCATGATGATGTTAACTCTGGAAATGTTACTACTAATAACAAAAAGTAATTTTTAAAAATGGAAGAAAACCTTAAAAAAAATAGAACTTGGAAATGTACAGAAGGAGGAAGTCATTAAACAGTTCTGTTTGATTCCACTCAGAAGCTTCTGCAGGCTTCAATGTTCATAGCATAAATTATGTTCATAATTATGACCAAAATACCCAGCAAATTACGAGGTATTTTTCATATATTATATTCAAGGCATCATCTGATATGTTTTAGAAAGTGTCCAACCAGGGAAGCTAAAGCAAGAGAAGTGTTTAAACTTTAACTATTAGCTAACTGATATTAACTGGAATAATTTTCAGTCTGAGGATTTTAGATACTCATCTTCACTATCCATATGTACTTTGTTTTATTCTCCTATTAAAATACTATTTATTGGAAACCTTGATAATATTCAACCACATGTGCAAATTGTCCTGTCATCATATTCTACTTATCAAATCAAACTTTTTTGCAATGTAACTTTACTTTTGGGTAGTGAATTTAGAATTAGATGAGGAAATTTACTGTCAAATAGTCCTTATTAAATGCCATTTTTCCGTTTTTATTCAATGCTTTGGTAATTTATGTTAGGGTAATACTTTCTGAAACAGTATATCAAAAATATAAAAACACATATTTTTACTGATATTTTGATAACTGGATAGTACTAGTCTCTAAATATTCACACCCACAACCTATTTAGCATGAAAACAAAGACTTATGGATGTTCTAAAACTAATAAATCTTTTTACAAAAATAATTTTAGCCATTATATTTTAAAATATACATAATGTTAACATTTATACATACTCATAAAATCTAGTTAATATTTTATGTATTCTTATCATCAATAATTTTTCTTTAAAAATCACCTTATTTTCTACTTAAAATATTAACAAAATTGATAGTTTATATAAATATGTTGTCCTGAAAGACAAGAAAGTAGCTTCAGAGACATTCTTTACAAGGATTGCCTGTGACAAATTATACAATCAGTTTATGACCAAACAAAGCAATTAGTTTAACCACACCAATTCCAAATTTGCTCTTTTCTTTACTAGAATACTTGAAATAAGAACTAGACTTGGAACTAGGAGACATGACTTCAAGTCTTGGCTTACATTTGATTATAAAAATTCATATTAAAAAAATCATTAATGTGCTCAACTAAGTTGGACATAGTTGTACATGTAATTGTCCTATAAGAATCTGGAAACAAGAACATGCACTGGAACATACATGTGTTTAAGGGAAGAAGGACCTTGAAATGGATGGATTAAAATAAAGGCACAGAATTTCAAAAATGGCGATCCCTAACATTTAACTATTTCATTGGAAATAATAAAGACTTTTGCCCCCTTCTTTTTTGTGGATCATTACATCAAGGTGCACAATAGTGTTTCATTTAAAAGAATTTATATTAATTAAGGATAATTTTGTCCATACTCTTAATTATTAATTTACTCTTAATTATGACTTATAAAACTTATTGTTTAACAAATTCTAGAATATTTGATTCTCAAGTTTTACTCTAAAATACCATAGAATTGTTTGGGAAATCTTACTTTAAAAGCACTTTGGTGAATAACTTTATGATTCTAGCTTAATGGAGTTAGAATATAATTATGTGAAGGTAGCATAGCATTTTGCCACTTCTTTATGACTTCTTTATTGAAAATCCAGTGATTTTTTTTTTTGCTCTATTGTAAGTTTGACATCAGGTCTTTAGAGTTCTAAGCAAGTTTGACCAATGACTAAAGGATGCGTTGGTAGGGCATGGTAGCCTAATTGTCTTTGAAAGCCCTCTTTCAAAATTTACAATGACAAGCACTGAATCTTAACATCATGAATGTTTTTCTGTTTACATGTATCTAAGTAGTTGTAGCTTACCTGTAGCCATAGATGTAAAATTAGTTTTTGTCTAAAAGTAACTTGTAACTCTAACCTTACATAATGTTTTAATTTCTTTATTTCTGATGATTCTTACTTACTACTATAGTCTCATGCACATAAGAACTTTAATGAACTTTCACTGAACCATGTTCTTTTTAAATTATTGCTGAGATCTTGTGAGGATATAGTCTTCAGTTTTTCCTACCTGCATTTCATTGTTGATAGTCCATAGTTATATACACACTCCATTATAGAAACTGAGAGTATATACAGCAATTTAGGTGTTTTTAGTCAGGTTATAAGGGAGGTAGAAAATTTGCAAAATAATATGATCTTTGTTCAACCTTCTATCTGCTGTTTGTATTTTAGAGTTTTTCATATTAAGATAGTTAGTTTTATCTTTTTTCAGAACTGCCAATTTTTTTGTCCAACCATTTCAAATAACTATAAATAAAGGCTTCTCACCCCTCAATTTTTATGGTGAGGGTCTCTGAATGGTTTTATATTACTTTGGTAGAAATGAGTAAAACTAAAGGAAAGAGGTGTGGAAGAATAAACAATAAAGGAGAGAGGAGAGGAGGTGTTGGATTTAAGACATATTTCTATTCCTCTATCATTCATTGTCATATGGCAAGAAAATATGGAATCAGCTCCTTCTAGCTGGTTCTTCAGTTTTCATGGGTGGCGTTTATTATTCTCAAAGTTCTGATATATGAAATACTAATGATAGAGGAAAAAGAGATTCTCAATGACTGGAGGCTGGAGAGGGGAGAGAAGAGAAGCTGGGAGCTGGATTTAATAGATACTACATTATAGTTAGATAAGAAAGATAAATTCAGGTGCCCTATTACGTACAGGGTGACTATAGATAAAGATAATATATTATATATTTCAGAAAAGTTAGAAGAAAGGATTTTTAATGACTTTGCCACAAATAAATAATAAATGAGAAGATAGAGATGCTTGCCATCATTTGAACGTCATATAATGTATATGTATATCAAAACATCTCCTAGTACCCCATAAATTTGTGTATTTTTGTGTGTTAATTAAAAAATTAAAAGCAGACAAAACTACATTGATCCCATATGTAATATGTATAAGTAGAAATCATTAATTTTGTTGAATTTTTGTTGTTCACATAGGTTTATTTGATAACAGCATAGTATTTAACATGCATATTTTTTAAAGAAGAAAATTCTTAAAGGTAATTTAAGAAAAAATGTAAATAAATATTATTCAAAATATTAATGTACTTGTTATTTTAAAAATAGAAATGATTGAGGTAGATTCAGGTTAAAAATATCACTATGAAGTATGCTTTTTAATTGTAAACCACATGACTATATAGATGCTTTCTTGATATGATTCATTCTTCTTGTGTTATTTGGATAACTTTTTATCTTTGCAAACCAAAGACAATTTCATAATCCTATTTTTGTTTTAAAAAAAATACTGTCTTCCAAAAGTGTGTAAGTTCCAAAAGAAGATTCAAAATTCTGAAAGGACTCATTGCTTGACAATTCTAAGTTTATGTGTTTGTCTTACGTTGGTTATTAAAACTCCAGTTTTTATTGATGATGGTTCAGGATTCTGAAATGTTAGCTTCTTGATGATCAAGAGGCAAGAGCTAGTGGTCTGCACTTCTTTTTTTCCCTTAACCATTAAATTCTCAGATATTGACCAGTGGAATAAGGTAATTGAGCAACTAGGAACACCTTGCCCGGAATTCATGAAGAAATTGCAACCCACAGTAAGAAACTATGTGGAGAATCGGCCCAAGTATGCAGGACTCACCTTCCCCAAGCTCTTTCCAGATTCCCTCTTCCCAGCGGACTCTGAGCACAATAAACTTAAAGGTAGGCCCTCCAGAGACAACTTGAGACCTCTGTGCAGGACAGAAGCTAAATAGCTTGTGGTTTAGAGACATATCTTTAACTTCAACTACTTCAAGTTAAGGAAAGGGTACTTTTAAAAAGACCATTTTTACCAAGGGGAGTGGCTGAGGACTTTATAATTAGATATTCAGAAGGAAGGGTAAGAATAAAGTGTGTTAACAAGATTTAGGTTAACTATTTCATAGAGTATACTTAGAAACTTAAATCGTTTTTTGAAGTAAGTTTCAGAAACCAATGTAATATACATCCATCATGCTTTCAATCCTTTCTATTTGGTCTGAAAATATTTTCAGTGCCTGTTTTCAGTTGTAAAATCTTGGAGTTATAAAATCAGATGTTTGAGTTTGTTTTATTTGTATTGTGGGTTTCTTTTATTTGTATTTTAGCATTTTATTTCTATTTATAGTGCTTTTTCAGTTGACAGTGGTAAACGAAATTTCACCTATTCATTTTCATTCAGTATAAACACTTATTAACAAGTGATTCTTTTCTACCATGATGTCTGCAGTTAATAACTTGAGTAACAAATCTCAGTATCTTCCCCCCCAAATATTGAGGTAAAAAGACCTTTGATTTGTTTGGAAACTAGGCACAAATTTGGCAATGTATTAACTGTAAGATAAATAATATCCTATTTTCTGTTAAACTTTAGGACACTCCTGAGAACTCATTTTGAAGGAAATCTGATAGCCCCAACCCCACTCAAGGTTCAAATTCTGCCACTGTGCCTTGAAATCTGTGTGACTCTGGGCAAGTTATCTCTTTGTACACATGGAGGCAGGGATTTGTTGGGAGGATTAATTTGCTTAATGTTGCACTTAATACAGTGCCTTCAGAGCTTATAACAAATACTAAATACTGTTAAAAATAATAAAAAATATATTTAAAAATACTTATATGTGATCAAAAAAGAAAAAGTTAAGACGTACGCTTTGAAATATAACCCTAAGTGTTCAGTGGAGAATTCTGATCTATAGACATAACTAACAAAATTTGAATATCTATGGTAGACTTAAATGAGACGGAGACACTATAATGCAGTGCTACTATTTTCTAAATTTTTACCTAGTGTATTTTAAATATTCCATATTGTTCCTTTGTTCTTGATACTTAGGCTTCACAGTGGATCTTTCTTCCTTTAGCTTTCCTATGGACTTTAGGTATGGTATGGACTAAATTATTACCAACTCAATCATTTTTAAGATCAACATTATCTTTATGCACATTAGGAAAGAGCTAATACTCTAAGAAGAGATATTTTAGCATTTATTCCTTCGGGATGCTAATTGAGATGTTAGGTAAAATCATCCCTTCTGATGAAGACACTTGTAGTATAACAAGTGAAGACAGCAAAGCTCTTATTAAACTACTGAATGATAATGACAGCACTTATAGAAAAATTATTAAAGTATATCATGCTCTGTCATGTAATTCCAACTTTCTTGAGTTTACTTTAAAAATTTTTTAAATTTATATATGAACACAATATCTTTATTTTGTTTGTTTATTTTTATGTGGTCTGAGGGTTGAACACAGTGCCTCACATGTGAGGGGCAAGCGCTCTGCCACTGAGCCACAACCCCTGCCCCTTGAGTTTTCTTTTTAAGTGGAACCTCTATAATTATATTCTTTGTAAAGGATAAACTATTTTATTATTGTTATGATTATTTAATTTAATTTTAATGTAAAATTACCACATTGTTAAGAATCATAACATACAATAGCCAAAAGAAACAATATATTTCATTATATTTGAAAAAGAGCATAACAGATTTTTTTTTTTTGCAAATGAAAGATAAAGCATTGAAATATTTTCCTCATTTTGTTTCAGACATAAGATATTTACTATTATTTCTTCCTAAGATGATTTGGTATTAATATAGTTCATGGCCCTATTCCAGCGCCTGCTCTAAAAAGTGAAATATGGTGGGTTTGATAGGACAATAAAAGGGAAAATAGATGTAAAATCATTTATAAATCAAAGAAGTCTTTCAAACTAGTAATGAGAAATATTAAAGTTTGAATTAACATACAAGTCTTTTTATATTTTTATTATTCTTATAAGCTTCAAACTTCTATTTGTAAATAATACTAATGATTTTCTGTGATTGAATTTACCAGGAAAATGGTTAATAGACATAAAATATCCTAAAGGATTAGTTAACTAGTGATTTTTCATGTTAGAACAAGACATCAGAAGGTTTCTTTATTGAAATGTGAAGACACAAGAAAATACAGAATAAGTGAAAATGGTTTGCTACATTTTAACTGTAGTTTTGTTAAAATTATATGAAAAATATTTGACCAACAAATAACTGAAAAAATAAATAGCACCAAAAAAATATGCCCATAGATACAGTGGTTGACTCAAGCTTATTGGGACAATTGGTATTTTCTGATTTTCATATTATGTTATTTTCAGTTTTACACAACTTACCTAGTTGCTTTTCTCTGAAAAACTGATGAAATAAAAATTGATATATATCCATATTTTTATGATTTATTCTTAAATCAATTGAGGCGCTTTTCCTTTTAATTTGAAGTTTTACTATATATTTGGAACCAGCTGAATATTTTTACTATTAAACCTTTCTATCAATTGAATAACAATTTCGGTTTAAGATGTTTATTTCCATTCAAACAGTAATTTTTGTAAAATTTTATATATTTTTTAGAGATTAAAAATTAATGAGGCTTTACTAGTGTTCTTAAACAAATATGCTTACTGATTATCACTAAATAACTTTACAACTAATACTACCCATAATCATAAAATTAATCTTAGTAACATAAACATAATGTAGTTTTACATTGCTGTCATGTGTAGCATTGAACGGACTTCAGCCGTTAACTACTTGATTTCATGAAATCATGATTCTACTGATTTAAAGTGCCTGATGATCACAAAATGTTAAAATGACAATTCACCAGTTGAATGATATCATATCTATCACTACTACTCTTCAGGTTATTTTCATGCATACAATAAATTGGGGCTATATGATCTCTCATCAATTTGAATTCAGTTCAAATTTTAATAATTCTAAAATATGAATGAGAACATGAAAATACACATTGCTTATCTTCAAAGAGCCATCACTATCAAACATCATGGATTTGCATTTGTATGCTTGTTATCCCTTCAGCCTATGGTCATCCAGATTACCTAAGAAAATTATTTTGCTTATATTAACTTTCTGGTGAATGTTTCTTAAGTTATTTGAATGTTAAATGAATAATTGTGTATTTATATTATAACTTCAATGAGCCCTAGATGATGCCTTAGGCCTCGAGACCTATAGAAAGAGATGCAAAATTAATTTCTTTTTCCAGAATATCCAGAAATGGACTTGATATTTATTTAGAAACAAGATATTTGTTGATTTTTTTTTTTTTGCTTTAGTTTCCACTCCATACAACAAATAAAAATCTTGCTGGTTGTTTTTCTCATTGATTGTTTCAGCCAGCCAAGCCAGGGATTTGTTGTCAAAGATGCTAGTCATTGACCCAGCCAAGAGGATATCAGTGGATGACGCCTTACAGCACCCTTACATCAACGTCTGGTACGATCCTGCTGAAGTGGAGGCGGTAAGGCAGAGGCATATTTTATTTTCTTTCCATAAACAAACCTTAGCTGTAGTAAACTCTTAGTAGGATTGAACCCCAGAAGGGCACACAAAAAATTCTAGGTCAAAAATACCATTATCTGCCCCTGTAAAAGATATTTTCCTTAACTATCTTTTAAATGAATTTGTTTTTTAGGACTTCCTATGAAAGGGGGTGATTTAGTCCAAACTTTAGATGTACTTGGCACATTTACCATTTGTGTTCATTAAATTGTTTGTATGTCTCATCCAATGTGTTTTTAGCCTCTTCCAATGCAAGATTCATGGTTGAAAACCCAGTACAGGATAAGCTACTTTGCTTCTGTTTCATAATAATACGTCTATTAGTATCATGTGATATTTAATATTTCAGTTAGAAACCTTTTATCAAGCTAATGGTGACTTTGTGAAACTACATGAGCTAGACAAGAAAAAGTGGGTATTTCAATACAGACATTATTTTTAAGGTTGATTCCAAAGTGAATATCATAGTGTGGTATATCTTTTCTTTCTTAAGAATCTTCTTAGAACCATAACTTTTATCTTCAAACTATTTGTCAACAATTGAAAAATATTGACTCTATTTTCTTTCTTACATCTTTACTTATCTCATTTTCTCTATACTGGGCCACAGATTAGTAGAGAAATGTATATTGCTGTTGTCCACATGTGTTATATAGGCCTTCTGATGAGAATTTGCTTTTTGCACCTCCTTTAAATGTTACTATCAGCAATGTTACCCTTTCTCACAAATGTCAGAATCTCTTCAAATTCTTAGAATATCTGTGCTAAACTATCTCATTTTTTTATAACATAATACTTTCTAATGCATGTGTTTCAATCTGTTCTAATCTTTTATTTGAAATACTATTTACTTTTTACCCTTCTCCATACCCCAGAGTATGCTTGAAGATATTTTTGCTATGTTTCAGTTTCTTTTCCTCTGCCTCATCATGTACTTGCACATGTGACAGGTGCTAAATTTAAATTTACATAATCCTCATTTCTTCATTCTTCACTAGAGAAGCAGAGGCTGAGAGATGATAGTGAGGACCAGGTAGAATTGATCTTTACAGACACAAGCAGCAAGCTCCTTTGCATAGGTAATTGTGATCATTAAATATTCAAAAGGTTCAGAGAGAACACTACAGTGGTGAGCCTCCCACATGGAAACGATAGTGGAGTTATATGTCTGCTAAGGCTGACAAAAACTGCACAACTTTTTCTTAAGACCTGCTTACTTAAGCAGTTTTACAACGATGTTGACATTTTATTTTGCTTAGGATTTTTAGTCACTTGATTTGATTCTTACAAAATAAAATTCCCTTAACTTAATAGTTCTGAGTTTATGATTTTCTTAAAATGAATATACATTCTTGTAACTAAAGTATGGAACCTCTTGCAATCTCTTATGCTTAGGAAATATTTTCCAATGTTCTTGGAATAAAATGAAGTGAGGCAATATGTAGAGAATTTTATATATAATACACATATATATTTTGCAAAATAGATATATATGTATATAAACACTCATCTATACATGTATATGTAAATATGTATATATTACATACATATGTAAATATGTGTATGCATGTGTGAAAATGAAATGTAAAACTTTTGCTCTGATAACGTTCAAAAGATATTTTTGGTTGTATTGATAAAAATTGTAGATAAACAAATTAGTTGAAATTGTTGCTCCTCATTTATTTTGATAGTTTGAATTATATGGCATATTTATTTTTTGCTTAGATCTAATTTAATGAATGTAATCTGTTTTTAATGGATTGTGGCCTGGAGTTTAATTGGAGTCATAAAGTCTGCATTTGTAATTCACTTGTAATTATGTTGCCTATAAAAGAGACAGTTGCTTAGACTCTGTAACAACATATTAGAATAATGCCAATGAGTTTTAAATTATTTTAACTTTTTATGAAAAAAATTCTTTGAAGGATAAAAAGATAAAAGGATACCAAAGATACAAGAGTCTATTTTTCAACTTTTTCAAAATTGTTATACTGAGGCAGGGATGACAATAAGTGACAATAAAATTCTCCTATGAAGTTTAGGAGAAGAATCTTCTACAAAATGAAGATCTATGACAAGGAATCTGTACACATAAAAACAAGCATATATTTGGCATCTAGACTAGGATCATTGATTATACAAGAGTAAAATTGTCATGTATCTACAAATGTTGCAGTGAATTCTGATCCTAGGGCAAGAATAGTTTATTATGCTGCAAAATATATTACAGAAACCACAAATAGGAAGTGACATCTGGAAAGTGCTAGAAGCAGAAAGTGCTAGAAGTCAGTTATGCTTTTTTGTAGTACCAGTAGGATTAATGTCTTCGTAATTGGACATGAATATGTATTTAAAATAAAAGGACCTTTCTTTATAGACTTTTGGCAAAGCTATAGTGGAGTTATATGTCTGCCAGGGTTGAAAAGAATGTTTTGCATAATAAACTCTAGTGTGTCTTTATAAAACAAATCAATGGAAATATCAGTTAATTAGAAGTCCCATGATTAGAGGTCATCAAGGAGATCCATGTTCAAGCAGCTGTCAAGTAACTCACAAGTAATGCTTGGGAGGGCAGGAAATTCACAGAGGGAAGAAAAATTAGTTTTGCTGAAGGAAAATAGACACAAGTGAACAAGATATAAGGGAGAAGATGTGGGAAAATTTGATATCTGCAGGAGATGTTGAAAAAAAAGTAGATAAATATTTTATGTACTAATCTATTAATCATATTGTACATTATCTTACACATATTTCCCAAAGAACCACAATTCCAAAATCAAGAGAGATGAGCCTATTAATATTTTTAGAACTCTAATAGAGAAAATTAATTATATTTGCATAAGCTGAAAATTTAAAAATCTGGATATCAAGCTGAATAATGGCCTATGTGTGCAATACAGTAGTGTATAAAGACTTTGAAGTTATAACTGCCCAAATTATTAGCAAGTTCTTAGTCAAAGAATGTTCAGAGTAACAAAAGTTCATGTCCAAAAAAGAGCACAAAGGCCACACTAAATGTCAATCCTTTTTTGTGAAATAATGGGTTGGTATTCTAACTGGCTCAATGTTCATCAAGAGGGTAAAGATATTGCATTCAATTGCAGTCTGTTGAGTTGTTTGCACCTTTATAGATGTGAAAAGATGGGTTTGACTTAAATTTTTACTCTGCCCGTGGTAGCTGGCTTTGATCAATTTCTTAAACTTTCTGCAACTCAGTCTTCCTAACTGAGCAAGTTGTCCTGTGTTATACTTACAATATAGTGTTCTAAGAATTTAAAAAATATGTGCTTGTAATATGCTTAGTACAGCAATGGCAGCCAGTAAAGAGAGTATAAATCATCATTAGTATTGTCACTGTTATTACTATTGCTATTATGACTTACATGAAAAGCTTTACTACCTTTTGGTATTAGGAAAAGGTAGTTGTATCTGATGAAAAAGTCCAGCTGGCTGAGGAATATAAAAGTATTCTCTAACAATTTTTTGGTTAATTATTAAAAACTGTTGCAGAGGAGATCTTCCCACAGAGACAAAGCCAGAGGTCCCAGCCTTTTGTGTTCTTGTTTGAGAGGATTCCAGGCAAGAAAGGAGATTAGTAAAAGAAATAGCAGAGTTTATTGGAAGGAATAGGAAAAAGGGAAATTCTCAAGGAAGAGAGTGGGTCCTCTCACAGGGGAGAAGGATAGCACCCCCCCTCCCCATTCCAGTTTTATAGGGAGTCCCTCGGAAGTTTCTAGAGTCCCACCCAGGTCCACCTCTTGACTTCTGACCCACAGCAGAGCTGTATCAGACTTTCAAGTCCCTACTACACATGGTAAATGTCTGAAGCAAGGCTGAATCACTATGGCCCATGCTAACAAATTGTAGTTGGAACTTGTTCTCACAGATTTAATGATTAGGGTAAATTATCCTTATCTTTTTGAGTTCTGGGATCTGGTCTGTGGGAGGATCACAAAAGTTGTGGCCCTGACTGCTTCAAGGTAACCTGTCTTTTTCTTACTGGCAAAACAAGCCTGCATTTCTCCTGTAGATAGCAGGTTGTTCACTCAGGAATGTGACATATTCTATTGACTTAAGCCAGGTAGGGTTGCAGGTAAATTGTTTTTTAAAGAGAGCATGTGGGGTCAGCACAGGGGGCCCAGTTTATAGAATTATCCCCTTAACCTCATGTTCCCACTGCTCGTGCCTGTTACCTGTCAAAGGTCATGTAGCTTTTACATGTTTTTAACGGGTTGGTCCTTGGTTTTTGATGATGGATACACATCTACTTTGCCAAATGTAAGGCCATCCAGTGCCATTAGTTTAAACCAAAAGAAAACAAAGTATGAAGCCCACAAATTTTCATTATAACTTTATTTTAGGAAAGTAGGGGATATTCAGGATTCTTTTGGGGACTCAGTTTACTATCTTCTGTGTACACCATTGAAGAAAAATACTGGAATAAGGCTCATTTTGTTGCCCTTTTTCTTAACAGATTCTTGAGCTTAGAGACCCTAGTAGGATAGAATGGTGGCATTTACCTAGCTCCCTAAGGATAGGGTTACTGAGAACTTTTGATCTCTTTGGTGAACTCTAAATTAAGGTAGAGTTAGTTACCTCTCAGGGCAAGTAAGAAGAGTATTTAAGAGGGACATGAAATATAACTTTTTGGATTTGATATGAGGGATTGAACCCAGGGGGACTTAGCCACTGAGCCACATCCCCAGCCATTTTTATTTTTAATTTTAAGAGAGGGTCTCGCTAAGTTGCTTAGGGCCCCGATGAGGCTGGCCTCAAACTTGCAGTCCTCCTGCCTCAGCCTCCTAAACTGCTGGTATTATAAGCATGTACCATCACATCTGGAAAAATGTAACCATTTTCTTTTAAACTTCAGAGTGCCATGAAAAAACTCCTGAGTGTAAGAATCTTTATTAAAGGTTTCTATAGATTTGTACATAACCAAGTGGGAGAAGGAGAGTA